CCGGGCCTGCCGGGGGGCGCGGGCGGCCGTGTGCCCAGCGTGGCGCTTACCATCTCGGCCTACCAGGAGGACCCGGCCTACCTGCGCCAGTGCCTGGCATCGGCGCGTGCACTGCGCTACCCGCGCGCACGGCTGCGTGTGGTCATGGTGGTGGACGGCAACGGTGCCGACGATCTCTACATGCTGGACATGTTCCGCGAGGCCTTCGCCGACGAGGACCCTGCCACCTTCGTGTGGGACGGCAACTACCACCGGCCCTGGGAACCCGCGGCCACGCCAGCTCCCACACCTGGCGCCTACGGCGAGGTGGAGGCAGAGGATCCGGGGAGGCTGGCGGTGGAGGCGCTGGTGCGCACGCACCGCTGCCTGTGCGTGGCGCAGCGCTGGGGTGGCAAGCGAGAGGTCATGTACACGGCCTTCAAAGCGCTGGGCGACTCGGTGGACTATGTGCAGGTGGGTGCCCAGGGTTTGAGGGGGGCTGCGCCCACCCGCCTGCCACCACGGGGCGGGGCCAGCCATCCACAGGGGACACCATCCTGGGCTCATTCAGGCCCTCAGGACCTGGCCATCCCCGGCTGCCTGGCCATCCGTGTCAGCCATCCGTGCCAAAGCCGTGACAGCGAGTCAGGAAACTGTGGCTCACCTCCTGTCACATCCCAGCTACTCAGGAGGCTGAGATCTGAGCATCCTGGTTCGGTTGGAAACCAGCCTGGGCAGGGAAGTCCCTAAGAGTCTTACCTCCAACGAAGCACCAAAACCAAGCTGGAAGTGGAGCTTAGGTTCAAGTGGTCGAGCACCAGCCTTGAGCACAAAAGCTCAGGGCCAGTGCCCAGGCCTGCAGTTCAAGCCCCAGGACTGGCACAAAAAGAAAAGAGGGGAAACGAAGGAAGGAAGGAAAAGAAGGGAGGGAGGGAGGGGCCGGCTCTGGCCCTCCCGTCCCCCGCCCCCCGTGCCCATCGTCCCCGCAGTCGCTGGCCGGCGTGGCTTGGGGGCTGGGTCTGAGCGTGGCCCTCCTGCCGCAGGTGTGCGACTCCGACACCAGGCTGGACCCCATGGCCCTGCTGGAACTGGTGCAGGTGCTGGAGGAAGACCCCCGTGTGGGGGCCGTCGGGGGTGACGTGCGCATCCTCAACCCCCTGGACTCGTGGGTCAGCTTCCTGAGCAGCCTGCGTTACTGGGTGGCCTTCAACGTGGAGCGGGCGTGCCAGAGCTACTTCCGTTGCGTGTCATGCATTAGCGGGCCGCTGGGTGAGCGTGGGCTGCGAGCGGGTGCTGGGGGCCGTAGATGGCTGGGGAAGGGCATGAGGACCAGGCCAGGGGGCAGACGGGGCTGGGTCGGGGACGCCATGGGGGGGACGGCCGAGGCTGAGTCTGCCTCCCCCCCCCCCCCCCCCCCCTTAGGCCTGTACAGGAACAACCTCCTGCAGCAGTTCTTGGAGGCCTGGTATAACCAGAAGTTTCTGGGCACCCACTGCACCTTCGGGGACGACCGGCACCTCACCAACCGCATGCTCAGCATGGGCTACGCCACCAAGTAAGCTGGTAGGAGGGGGGACAGTGGGTGAGGCCAACAGTACCTGTGTGCGCAAGCGCCAGCGTGCGTGCCCGTGCATGCCCGTGAGCGCATGAACACTGATGTCCAAGTTACTTTCCCCATGATGGTATCTACCAAGTTAGATCTAGGAAGGAGAGAGGAAGAAGATACTGTGGGAGTGGAGGGGGACATCTAGCCTGGAAGGAATGAAGTATTAGTGGAGGATGGACAATACTCTGAGAGGCAAGGATGACCTCTGCATGGAGTCAGGTGACCCACCAGCCAACCGTGGATAGCCATTCGAACCATGTGACCCCTCAGCCAGTTTAAGTGGAACAAAGGGGAGAGCCTAAACTCCAGAAAATGTTGTTATTTTGGTTGGTGGTGGGGCTTGAACTAGGGGCTTAGGCACTGTCTTTGAAGTGGTTCATTGGAGATATGACATGAGTCCCATGGACTTTCCTGCCCAGGCCGGCTTTGAACGGTGATCCTCAGATCTCAGCCTTCTGAGTAGCTAGGATTATAGGAGTGAGCCACCAGCACCCGGCCAGTAAATGCTTCAAGAAAAGAGAAGTTGATTCTTAGCGGGCCTGGGATGTTATGAGCTAGGTCAAATGAAGTTAAGAGCAGAGGGAGTTCCCCAAGAAAGCCAGACCTAGTGGGAGATCCCCAGGGACTTTGGGATACAGCAGCAGGGAAACAAATAGTACACAGTGAGAATCATTCACTCAACAAATACTCACACCTGGGAGATGGTGCCTGTAATCCCAGCTACTCAGGAGGTAGACATAAGAGGATCACCATTTGAAGTCAGCCCAGCCCACTCCCTACCCCCAAAAATCTGAGACTTCATCTCGAAAACAAACTCAAAGCTAAGGAACCAGGGCATGGCTCAAGTGGTAGAGCCATGGCTCTGAGTTCAATCCTCCACATCAACATCAAAAAAGGGAGGAGGGCCTTACAATCTGTACAATCTGTTGAGCTCTGGAGACACAGCAGTAGGCAAGAAGAGAAATCTGTGCCCACATACTGGGGAGATAGAGCCTTCAAGGGGGAAGCTCTAGCATCAGGAATGGTTCTGGGAGTTATTTGTGATCTCTGCCACAGGAAGGGACCCAGCCACTCCCTAGAGAGTTTCTCACGTAGGGTCTGTCCTAGGTTGTAACTGGGCCTGGAGTTGTTCCTCCCTGTTGGGCCAGCCAATGCAGTAAGTGAAATCATATTAGTAATATATTAGTAATGGTGTCAAGAATCATACGCCATTACTGACGTCAGTGGTTAATGGTATTTAGTCATGGTATGATGAACCAGTTCTCAGAACCTGGCTTTTTAATCCTCCTGCAGTCCTGACATCATGGGGTTAGGAACTAAGATGCTTTATCAACCTAATTTTTATATGAGAAGACGGATGCCTAGAGAGGATTAAAAACAAAACAAAACATAAAACTTGTTCCAGGGCTTGGGGGTGTGTGTGGCTCAAGTGGTAGGGTGCCTGCATAGCAAGCCGAGGCCCTGAGTTCAAATCCCAGTACTGTTAAAAAATTAAAAAGCCAGGCATGGTGACTCACACCTTTAATCCCAGCTATGTAGGAGACAGAGATCAGGAAGATGGACAAGTAGAGGCCAAAATGGGGGGGGGTGTAGAAAGACCCCAGCTCAACAGACAAGCAGGTACGGCCTTGTCCTGCAATCCCAGGGTCTACAGGGCTACTGGACAGCCCTCGTATGCAGCATGAGGCCCTCTCTGAAGGAGGGAAGCTGCGCTCTGGTGGCTCAAGCCTGTCCTAGCTACTCGAGGAAGCTGAGGTCTGCGGATCAGGATTCACAGCGAGCCTAGGAAGGAAAGTCCCTGCCGCTCCAATTTTCCACCAAAAACAAAACAAAAAAGCCAGAAGCAGAGCTGTGGCTGGCGTTGGTGGGGCGCCAGCTTTCTGAATGGCAAAAGCTCAGAGACAGCACCCCAGGCCCCAAGTTCAAGCCCCAGGCTAGTAATAATTAGGGTATGTGTTGGGGGGAGGCTGAAGGCTGGCAGCTCCGTGCACAGTGATCGGAGCCGCGCCTGGGGTGGGGGTGGGGGAGCTGAGGGCTGGCAGCTGGGTGCTGGGTGTTCAGTGCTCGGAGCTGCACCTGGCCGGCACCAGGCTGAGGACCCCTCCACCCCCATCATCCCCGCAGGTACACGGCCCGCGCGCGCTGCTACTCAGAGACGCCTGCGTCCTTCCTGCGCTGGCTCAGCCAGCAGACACGCTGGTCCAAGTCGTACTTCCGCGAGTGGCTGTACAACGCGCTGTGGTGGCATCGGCACCACGCGTGGATGACATACGAGGCGGTGGTGTCGGGTTTGTTCCCATTCTTCGTGGCGGCCACGGTGCTGCGGCTGTTCTACGCCGGGCGGCCGTGGGCGCTGCTGTGGGTGCTGCTGTGCGTGCAGGGCGTGGCGCTGGCCAAGGCCGCCTTCGCCGCCGCGCTGCGCGGCTGCGCACGCATGTTGCTGCTCTCGCTCTACGCGCCTCTCTACATGGGCGGCCTGCTGCCTGCCAAGTTCCTAGCGCTCGTCACCATGAACCAGAGTGGCTGGGGCACCTCGGGCCGCCGCAAGCTGGCGGCCAACTACGTGCCTGTGCTCCCGCTGGCGCTCTGGGCGCTGCTGCTGCTGGGCGGCCTGCTCCGCAGCATCATCTGGGAGGCCCGGGCCGACTGGAGCGGCCCAGCCCGCAGGGCTGAGGCCCTGCACCTGGCCGTCGGGGCCGCGGCCTACGCCGGCTACTGGGTGGTTATGCTGACCCTGTACTGGGTGTGCGTGCGCAGACTCTGTCGGCGGCGATCAGGAGGCTACCGAGTTCAGGTGTGAGCCCCCTCGCCCCTCCACGCCATAGGCCTTTCAAAGCCCAGGACCGTCTGTGAGGGAAACTCGCTGGGCCTCAGTTTACCTCCTCTGCGAAGGGAGGGTACCAGGACTGCAGTGGGGCTGGGACTTGTGGATCTCTGGGGAGGGGTATTTATTCTTCAGGGTATAGGGATTTAGGATGGGGACCAGGGAGAAGCCCTCCCACCTTCCTCCCTGTTCTCATTTCATCTCTGTTTGTACTGTGATTTGGATGTCATAAAGAATTTTATTTATTTTCTTCGGAGTGCAGCTTCTCTTTTACGAGAATGGAAGGGGCTGCATGCAGGTTGGGGGGCTCTGGACTTAGTCTACAATGAATGATCTACCTCTCTCCAAAGACCCCTCCCTCCCTGGCTGAGTACTGGGGTTTGGGCTTGGGGCCTTGGATCTCTAAGCAGATCTCTACCACATGAGCCACATCGCCAGGCCTTTTCACTTTTAGCTTTTTTCTTTCAGATAGTTAATTTTTTTTTTTTTGAAATCAGGGTCAGCCTCATCCTGAGATCCTCCTACCAATGCCTCCCCAGCCTTTCTGTTGAGACAGCCTCAGCAGCTTGTCTTGCCCAGGCTGGCTTTGAACTGTGACCTTCTTGGTGTCCACCTCCTGAGTAACAGAGCATACAGGCTTGAGCCATCCCACCTGGCTTGTACTAATGATACTGATTTCTGGCCAAAACAAGACAAAAACAGTAAGGATCCAGACTTGAAATATACTCTTTATTTTAAGGATGGAGACAGGAGAATGAGGGACCAGTACCTTGCTAGATGCCGCTGAAATACCACCGACAGAACATCCTGGGGAGACAACAAGGCCTGGGTGGGAGGAGGATGGGACAGTGCAGAGGTCCTGGGACTGGGAGAGTCTCAAGGGTGGACTGAGCCAGGACCCCAGGACCTGAGGGAGGAGGTTGGGGTCTGGATCTGGACCCCAGGGCCCAAGAGAGGAGGCTGGGGTCTGTGTCTGGACCCCAGGGACCGAGGGAGGAGGCTGAGGACCGGGATCGGCACGCCCACTCACCACACCAGCACCGTCAGGCTGGCGACCATGACGGCCACCAGGGCGGCCAGCAAGCACAGGTCCTCCCATGTCAGGGCCCAAGGATTGGTCAGTAGCTCTCCCAGGCCGGGCTTCCAGGGCTCCACCACTTCCGGTTCCTTCCGCGACCAGCGCACCACTTCCCGGAAGGTGACTTGGAGCTCGGTCTCCGCGCGCGGGGGCGGGCCAGTGACTGCGAGGCGCGGACGTCAGCGGTCCAGCCCTCGCCTCGCCTCCCGCTGCCCGGCCCCGGCCCTACGCCGCCCGCACCGTTCAGGAAGAAGTAGAGCCGCGCCACGGGGCGCACGTCGTGTCGGATCACGCAGGAGTAGGTCCCCGCGTGGACGGGCTTCGCCGGGCGGATCCGCGCCACGGACCCTCGGGCCCGCGGCAGGTCGCGGAAGTAGGACATGTCCTGAGTCCGGACCTGCGGGACCGTGGGCTGAACCCTGGACTGGGAAGCCCGGGGCGCGGGACCCAGGTCCTCCCAGCAGGGCTCCCGCCCCTCCCGACTCAGCTCCCGAGCCAAGCCCCGCCCCTGCTCGCAAGGCAGACCACGCCCCCTCCTCGGTCCCGCCCCTAGCCTCCCGGCCTGGTGCCGCCCCGCGGCCCATCCCGTTACTCCTAAATTACTCCTGACCACAGTGCCCCAGCCTTGCTCTGTTCCAAGATTCCGGGCCCTCCGCTGGCAGAAAGCCTGTGTCTAGGCCGAGCGGAACCCCGGGGCCTAAAGCCTCTGTCTGGATCTCCCCTAGCCTTGACTCCGCCCCTGCACCCTGTTAGCTGGGCGAGTCCCTAACCCCTGCCAAGTGTTACTAAACCCTCGTCTGGCCCCGCCCAGCATTGACTCCGCCCCCAGGCGCTGCAAGAGTCACCTGGCCCCGCCCCTAGGCTGGGAGGAACGTAGGCCCTACCCCCACATTATCACTAAAGCTTTCCGGCCCCGCCCCCGACTCCGCCCCTCTAACCTGGTTGGTTGGGGGCACGAAGTCCCTACAGCCCCACTATAGCCCGCCAGGCCCCGCCCCTCTGCTCTGGTTGGCTGGGAGGCTCGTAGGCCCTCCCCCTCCCTCCCCACACCACTGCAGCCGGTCCGGCCTCGCCCCGACTCACACCACCTTTGGCGAATTTCCAGGAATAGGAGATGTCTTCCTTCGGCAACTGGAAGTCCACAACACAAGAAAACATAGCCTGGTCCCCACGGTTGACGGTCACGTCCTTGACTGGAGATAACGGGGTCTCTCCCGCGGGGCTCACCCTAGCCCGTAGCCCCCTGTGGGGGGGCTCCCGAGCACCCCAGACCGCCCCTCACCTGGGCAGTTCAGCGGGAGCTTGCAGATGAGGGAGTAGCACCCGTCGCAGATGAACCTCCGGGTGAGCTCCTGGACGCCTGCGGGTGCGCACGCAGCTCTGGCCTCGCTGCTGTCCCCACCCGGGGGTCCCCCGTCTGAGGCTCCCTCCGGGCCCTACCCCCACCCCCTTAAATCCCGCAGGCCGAGCCTGGGACTAAGCGCTTACCACATGGAGGGACGCAGGCCGGGACTGTGGAGGAAGGAAGGGAGATCGCGGTGGGGACCCTACCTGACATGCCCCAGAAGATGGTCGAGGGGCTGACCTCTTCCCAACAGGGGGCTAGGCCAGACCTACAGCAGCCCACCCAGAGGGACAGGGCCAGGCTCAGGCCTGCAGCTGGCCATTTCTGAGTGTCCGGAAGAAGGGATCAGGTCCCCAGGGTCAGCCCTGCCGCACTGCCCCCAGGGGGCAGCCTGGACGGGCCAGGGTGAGATTAGAAGACCCAGTTAGAGAAAAGTTGGGGCAAGGTTAGTAGCCAACTGAGGGGGCCCAGGTGGAGAGGACATGGTTCTGCGTGTCCAGGGCTAATCACAGAATGTGTAGGCTGCAATAGGAGTCTCCCCCCCCCCCCTACACACACACATACACAAGGGCTTGGCTTAAAGGTCAAGCCATAGAGGTTGGACTGAGCAGAGTAGACTGGGGTCTCAGGTCTGGGGTTTGCCTCTAAGGCGTGGGGAAGGGGGTTGGGCCACATCTTATTTTACCTTTTTTAAGCTGTAGAATGGCCTTCTTCATTTCTTCTGCAGCCTTGGAGAATGCTTTTATATAGACCCCTGGAGGATGGAGCCAGGCCCTTGTGGTCATGTGTCTGTGCCCCCTCCCCTCCATGAGTCTCTCCATCCTTGGTTTGTGCTCCCACCCACCCTTCTATCAGGAAGGCTGACAAGTCTCAGAGCCTCCTCCTCCTCCCTCCAGAGTCTGTTTCAGATGGAGAGAAGCACGCTGCATGTATCTTGTTGCAGGCTGGGTGGCTGAAGGCATGGCTCAGGAGGTAGAGTGCTGGCTTAGAAAGTAAGCACATGTTCCCAAGTTCAAACCACAGGATCACCATGAAGAGATAAGCAAACAAAACAAGTGTCTATTTCTAGAAGACTGGTTAAAAAAAATTATTTTGAGCCTGGCACCAGTAGCTCTCGCCTGTCATCCTAACTACTCAGGAGGCTGAGAGCTGAAGATCATGGTTCAAAGCCAGCCGAGGCAGGGAAATCCGTGAGATTCTTTCTCCAATTAACCACACCAAAAAGCCAGAATTGGAGCTATAGTGCAAGTGGTAGAGCATAAGCCTTGAGTAGAAAAAACAAAAATAAAAAACTAAGGGACAGAGCCCAGGTCCTAGTACCAGAAAACACACACACACACACACCTTGTTGAAGGAAAAGGTAATGACCAAATTCCTCACCAAGGCCTACTATGCCCTTTACAGGCTAGCCCAATTCCCTCTTAGTCTTTGTTCCATCCCTCTGTCCACTTCTCTGTCCCTTAAGAAAGTCCCACATTTGCTGGGTGCCGGTGGCTCATGCCTGTAATCCCAGCTATTCAGGAGGCTGAGATCTGAGGATCTAAGCCAGCCAGGGAAGAAAAGTCCATTTAGACTCTTATCCCCAATTAACCACCAGAAAACCAGAAGTAGAGCTGTGGATCAAAGTGGTAGGGCACTAGCCTTGAGCAAAAGAGCTCAGGGACAGCACCCAGGCTTCATGATCAACAACAAAGGAAGTCAGGAAGGAAGGAAAGAAGGAAGGGAGGGAAGGAGGGAGGGAGAGAGAAAAGGAAGGAAAGAAAGAGAATATCCAACAATCTCTAGCAGGCAGGGCCTTTGCACATGCTGACTGTGGTTTCTAGCACATCTCCCCCCTCCCCATTTCACACCTCAAGTGTCATGTCCTCCAGGATTTTCTCCTCTCTACAATCTACAGTCTAATCAAGTGCCTTTTTATCTCTCATGCTTGGCTCTCATCAGCGTGTGATTATACATGCCGCCTGTGTGCTAATCACTTAAGTCCATCTCTTAAGTAAATATGGCTTCCTTTAAAGCTCAGTCCTTCAGAACCCCAGGGAGGGCCCCCACGTCTTAGAAAGGGCTCGATAAATATGTGTAGAATGAATTCCTGAGTGCAAATGGGAGTGGAGACCACAAGCAGTGGCCTACGGCCCAACTCTATTCCTTAGCTGTGTTGTACTTGGCTGGGATAGTGTGGTTTTTTTTTTTTTTAATGAACTGGTCGCCAACATATAAAATTTGGGAAAACCATATAAAATGTTTGACATCTCTTAAAAATTTCTGGAAAAAGCAGTAACTCAGAGACCAAATTTCCTTTGGGCAGCTATGCTCCATCCTCTGCTCTGGCTAGCCACTTTATCTGTTTCACATCCTATTCCTTCTTTCAGGACCACTATCTTTGCCAGTCTGGGTTCTGCCCAAACACCCCAGGGCCTTTGCACATGCCGGCTTCTGTTTCTATAGCACATCTAGCTTGCAGATTGAGGGTGTTCTAGCATTTTCCAGGGGAATTCTGCAGAGAAAATGAATGGCTGGGCTGACCTCGTGGTCGAGATGGCTTTAGAAATCAGACACCAGGCAAGGCGTTGAGAGATGAATCATACGCTTTCTCCTTTCTGCCACCCCTGCCAAATTCATGTGTTGGAATTCTGAACCCCCACTGTCCAAGATTATGACTGTATTTGCAGAGAGAGCTCTTGATGGGGTGATGAAGTGAAAATGAGGTCATTAGGGTGGGTCCTGGTGCAGTCTGACTGGTATTCTGGGAGAGGAAGTGACTAGGAGGCAAGGAGACACTGAGGGAAGACTGCTGGGACTCAGGGAGACCACGGCCACCAACAGTCCTGTCCGGAGGCCTCGGAAGAAACCGTACCTCTGCCCACACTGGCACTTGGATCTCGAGCTCCTCATCTCCACGATTTCTACAAAGCAGTGTCTGGCAGCTGTCTATTAACTCCACTTCCTGGGGGAAGAGCTCCCTTCACTCACCTAGCTAAGGGATTTCACTGTGGGGCTTTTCTTGCTTTTCCGTGACCAAGCTGACAGCCTTTGAGAAGAGAGGAAATGCCACGTGAGCCTCAGGAAGGAGCTTTAACAAGGAGAGGGTACCTGATCCTTTTACCCTGAAGCCTGAACTTGGTTTCTTGTTGTTGTTGTTTGGGTTTAGGAAGTACTGGAGTTTGAATTCAGGACTTTGTACTCACTAAGTAGGTGTTTGACCACTTGAGCCACTCCAACAGTCCCTTTTAGTGTTATTTCAGAGGTAGGGTCTCACATTATATCCCAGCTAGTCTAGACTGCTGTAAAGATGAAGTGGATTGCCGGGCGCTGCTGGCTCACACCTCTAATCCTAGGTACTCAGGATGCTGAGATCTGAGGATTGCCATTCAAAGCCAGCCCAGGCAGTAGTCTATGAGACTCTTATCTCCAATTAACCACCAGAAAACCGGAAGTGGCACTGTGGCTCAAGTAGTAGATCACTCGCCTTGAGCTGAAGAGCTGAGGGATAGCGCCCAGAACTAAGTTCAAGCCCCACAAGCAACAAAAAAATTTTAAAAAGAAAGAAAAGATGAAGTGGATTTATAGTTCTAGTAAACTGGAAGCATAAGGAAGTATTCCCAACCGGACAAGGGGTGTGGGAGAGACAAGAGGGAGTGTGGAGGGCTGTTGTAAAATCTCACCACGAGTGACGAGCTACTACAAACGCTTGAAGGGTTGCCAGTTCAGAACATCTGAGTTTGAGTCCTGGTCCTTCCGTCTAGGAATTTCACACCCAAGTAACCCATTCCAAGCCCTCATCCTAAGGGACCTTGGCCACGTGACTTAAAACTTCCTGATCCTGGGTTCCCTCTCTCATAAAACAGGGTGACAGAGTAGACCTCCCAGAGCAGGGGGGACAGAGGATTAATGCGTGTATCCTAAAGTACCTTCCATCCTGCATGACTGAGAAAGCTGCAGCTGAATGGTACAGTTTCTTGTTTTGTTTTGGTTGTGGGGCTTGAACTCAGGGCCTAGGCCCTCTCCCTGAGCTTTCCTGCTCAAAGCCTTCTACCACCTTGGCCCACAGCGCCACTTTTGGCTTTCTGTGGTTCATTGGAGATAAGAGTCTCAAGGACTTTCCTGCCCAGGCTGGCTTCAAACCATGACGATCTTCAGATCTCAGCCTCCTGAGTAGCTAGGATGACAGGCATAAACTCCTCGTCCTGGCTGGCAGTGTTATAAAAAGTCATGATGAGAGGCTGGGAAGGTGGCTTAGTGATAGAGCACTTGCCTAGGATGCATGAAGCCCTGGGTTCAATTCCTCAGTACCACAGACACAGAAAAAGCCAGTAGTGCTGTGATTCAAGTGGTAGAGTACTAGCCTTGAGCAAAAGCTCAGGAACAACACCCAGGCCCTGAGGACTGGCAAAAAGAAAAAAAAAAGTCATAGTGAGTTACTATGAGCACCATCTGGGGAAACTGACGCTAGGAAAGGGGCCCGAGATTCCACAGCCACACCCAGCCGGGTATGAGGCAGGGGACTTGGTTTCCTTCACACCCTAAGGACATCTATCACCCCATATGCTTGTGACTAGAAGTGTTTCCAGTTTTGGGTAAACACTTGGGAGCTACTCACATACAGGGAATGGGCTATCTTGAGGAAGGTGCTCAGATCTAAGCATAGCAGCCACTGTGTCTCACGTCTGTCTATCCACCTGGCCCGCAGGGCCCTTAGGTGATGGATGGAGGACTGTAACTTCCATCTGTACCTGACTGGTAGGTGGAGGTGGTCATGGGGAGACACGTTTGCGGCCCATTATCCCGCTACAGCTTTATAGTGAGATGTCACCTGCAACCACCAGGAAGCAACAGCTAGGGGGGTGGTGCCAGCTCCTAAGTCCCTCCCCACCGGAAGCTGTCCATCAGTCCCCATTCATCTGAGCACAGGAAGTCATCTATGTTCTCACAGGAAGTCATCCATCTGCCCACGGGAAGTCATCTATGTTCTTACAGGAAGTCATCCATCTACCCACTGGAAGTCATCTATGTTCTCACAGGAAGTCATCCATCTGCCCACAGGAAGTCATCTATGTTCTCACAGGAAGTCATCCACGTTCTCACAGGAAGTCACCCATTTCCCCCTACCTGGAAATTGTCCCTCTTGACCACCTGAAAGATACCCATCTCTCCTACTTTAAAGTTATCCATTTTTCCTACCTGGGAGTCCTCCATCTTCCCACAAGAAGTCATCTGCCTCTTCATCTAGAAACCTTCCTCCTCCTCCATCCGTATCCAATTGGTCTAGGCCTTCTCCAAACATCTAAATCTGCCCTTTCCGCCTAAGCCTCAACTTCCTTATGTGGGGCTTTTATAAATCCCATCCCACAGGCTGGTGTAATGGTGTGAGATAGTCTTTGGTTGGATAATTACCGCAAAGAACCTCCCAATAGATATGGGGGGGGGGAGTTTTGTTCACCTTTAATCCTTTCTCTCCATCCTTATGATCAGTGAGGATGACTTGGCTCGGTCCTCGGCTAGGCCCACCTGGACCACTGTCTCCTGTCAGGGGATTTCTCTTTGGTTTTCCCACAATGTTCTGTGCCCACAGGCTGACAGGGGGATCACGTTCAGAGCTAAGCACCATCTTTGTTTGGTGTAAACATCCTCCCCCAAATGCTCCCATCCCAAAAGATGAGGTCCTTCAAAGGGCTTTCTGAGACCAATACCGCAGTGGCATATCTATAGAAATGTCCTCTTGGGGGCCCAGCTGCAGATCTACTCATGAGAAATAGAGGGAAGACCCAGCCATCTTCATTGTAACAAACTCTCAAGAGATTGCAACAAACTCTCAAGGAAGACCTTCACTGTAACACTCTCAAGAGACCTTAAGGAACTCTCAAGAGATTCTGTTATACACTGACTGATACCAGGTGGTCCCTGGCCATCTCCCTGAATCTACTGCTCTGATTTCATCTCCACTATGGTCTTACTGGCCTCAGGGCCTTTGCACTCACTCTTGTTCCACATAAGAACTCTACTCAGATTATCTGGTTCTCCCTCATCACCCCATTCAAGTCTTTGCTCAACTGAAAATTTTCATTTACACCTCTGACCAACCCAATCTTCAACTCCATTCCCTTCTCTGTTTTGCTCCATAGCAGCACACAATTGACAAAGTAATGTCTGTGTTTATTGCCCTTGCCTCCTGCTTCATGATGTAAGCAACTTGCAGGTAGGTGGCTTAAGCCCCTGCTGTGTTCACCAGCTTCTCCCAGCTGCCCAGCTGCTCCTCACCAGGCCACAAAGCATCCCTCCCCACCCCAACCCAGGACCTTTCTAAAACCCAGAGCAGACCTGCCCTCCGCTTTCCTATACTTGTTCCAGATCTTTTCAAAACCCCTGGTGAAGGGCAGGGAGATTGTTACATCTTGCAGATGGGGAAGTGGAGGCCAGGAGACATGTAGGCACCAATCTGTACCTCGCAGCATAGGTTCCGTGGGCCTGACCTCAGCGTACTTTGGACTCTGGGTTATTTCTATGCCTCCCTTGGCTCTTTCCCACCATCTGTGACCCCACCTATGACTCCCACCTACTTCCCACCGATGACCCCATCTCCAACCCCACCTGTGACCCCATGTGCCTCTAGGCTTTTCCCAGTGAATACCCTCGGGCGGTTCCCTTCCCAGGTGCTGTCCAAAGCAGGGGTCCTCTATTCATCTGGCCCCAAGTCCTGGCAGGCTCCAAACTCAACACCCCCCCTACCCCCCAAGCACTCACCCTTGGCCACAGCTGTCTCCTGCAGGGAGTGCACCATCTGCGTGAAGGAGTCGTGCAGGTTGTTTCGCTCATCATAATCTGAGGACCAGTGAACGGCAGGGCTGGGCAGGCGGTGGAGCATGGAGCACAAACCAGGTCCCAGGGCTGACATCCTGTGGCTCTGACTGCGGCCCCACAAGTCTCCAGCACCCTCTCTCTGAATCTCCTAAGTCCTCTTCTTTAGATGTCTTCCCTTTCTACCTCCAGCTCTTTCCATGTTTGTTAACTCGGCCTCTGTTCTCTGTGCTTCCGCATCTCTGCCTGTCTGCATGTCTGTGTCTGTCTGTCTGTCTATATCTCTGAGTTTATCTGGGCCTGCCCAGCCCCTCCCTAGGGCCCTGGACTCTCACTGATTTCCGTTTTGAGCAGATCCTTGAAGGCCAGCTGGAACTTTTCGTCGCACTCTTTGGTCTTCCAGGCCTTCATCCCGACAAACATCTGGCAGATGCGGATGCGCTCCTTGTCTGTGACGAAGCACATGAGGCAGGCCCGCGTGCAAGCCGGGCAGACCAGCAGGCCCAGGAGGAGACACGCCCCAGCGCGCACCAGCCCCAGTGCCATGCTGGAGCTCTCTAGCTCTGCTGGATGAGCTGATGACCTTTGTGAGGTCACAGCGGGGGAGGGCTGGGCGGCCTGAGGTCAGAGGTCAGGTATCAGTGAGGGGTCACGTGTCAGGCTGTGTGTGGAGGAATGTCCTCAGGGGTCATTAGTCGGCCTAGGTGTGTGGCTGGGCCAGGCGCCAGGCTCCCAAGATCCCCACCTGTGACCCTGCATGTCCTCACAGGTTAAAGGGTCTCAGGGACCCAGAGGCCGGCAGCGCAGAGGATGGTGGATGGGACCAGCTGTTGGCCAAGGGACAGGGGCCGGGGCAGGGGGACAAGGGACAAGAGACACAGGTATCAGGAGACAGAGACAGAAATGGGACACAGAAGCCACTGAGGACAAAAGAAACAGAAGGAACAGAGGCAGGGCCGTGGACAGTGGAGGAAGCCCAGCTCTGCCCAGGGTCAGGGTAGCAACAGCAGCGATGGCAGCGTGGGTCAGGGGGAGAAGGCCCCGCGGCAGGCAGGGCGTCCCGTGTGGCAGGGCGCAGCCTGGGGAAAGCTAGGAGGCCGTATAGTGATCTCCTTGGGTGTCTTCCTCAACTATACAACCTCCTACCTCAGCCCGGGGGGCGCGGCAGGCGGACAGACGGACGGGAGGCCAGGAGGGCCAGGGAGGGTGGGGAGGGCCGGGGAGCCCCCAGCCGTGGAGGCGAGCCCCCGACACGGACCCACAGACACGAGCTTGTGTGCGGCGAAGGCCCCGCAAGGTCGGTTCTACGGGTGGGTGCCAGGACCCAAGAGCCTGGGCCCCCGGCCCCCTCCTCCCCAAGGAACCCCGGAGCACAGACCCTGGGGTCCCAGACTCACTTCTCCCTCAGACCCAGGGGTCCAGGCCCAGCCTCCTCCCTCAGACCTAGGGTTCCAAGCCTCACCCCTCCTCCCTCAGACTCTGAAGACCCAGACTCATTCCTCCTTCAGACCCAGGGGTCCAGGCTCAGGCCTCCTTCAGACCCAAGGGTCCAGGCCTAGGCCTAGGCCTCCTCCTTCAAATCCAGGGGTCCAGATCCCAGCCTCTTCCCTCAGACTCAGGGGGTCCAGGCCCCAATCCTCCTCCCTCAGACCCAGAGGTCCAGGCCCAGCCTCCTCACTCAGACCCAGCCCAGACCCCAGCTACCTCCCTCAGCCTCAAGGATCCAGGCTTCACCCCTCCTCCCTCAGACCCTGAAGTCACAGACTCACTCCTTCAGACCCAAGGGTCCAGACCCCAGCCTCCTCCCTCAGACCCAGGGTTCCAGGCCCCACCCCTCCTCCCTCAGACTCTGACCCAGACTCACTCCTCCTTCAGACCTAAGGGTCCAGGCCCTAGCCTCTTCCATCAGATCCAGGGTTCCAGGCCCCAGCCTCTTCCCTCAGACTCAGGAGTCCAGACCCCAGCCTCTTCCCTCAGACTCAGGGGTCCAGGCCCCAGTCCTCCTCCCTCAGACCCAGGAGTCCAGGCCCAGCTTCCTCACTCAGACCTAGCCCAGACCCCAGCCTCCTCCTTCAGACTCAGGGATCCAGGCCTCACCCCTCCTCCCTCAGACCCTGAAGTCACAGACTCACTCCTCCTTTAGACCCAGGGGTCCAGGCCCAGCCTCCTCCCTCAGATCCAGAGGTCCAGCCATCTGATTGTCTCCCACAGCCGGGCTGCAGGGGGGCAGCAGTGTAGGAATGTGGCCTGCTGGGTATGGCTGTTCTCCCTCCCCTTTCTGGTCCAGGTTGAAGGGGGGGTGCAGTTTGAACCCCGTCCCTTCTTTCTCCACTTGGCATTCAAGAGGATGACAGTGGTGCACCCAGCGCACCGGGGCTGCAGGCCACAGAGCCCCAGGCTCTCGGCTGCCTCCCAGGCCAGGAAAAGGCTGAGAGAGAGAAAGACTGGGCAGCGTGGGGTGGGCCTGTGGGCAGCCGTTCTCATGCCATGCTTAGAGCTCAGAGCTGGTCCACCTGGGTGGGTGTCCCCCACTCCTCACCCCCCTCCAGTTCTGGGGCTCCCTGGCTCCAGTTCTGGGGCCCTTGTCTTTCTCTCCACCCGCTGCTGCTTTACCCCACCTTTTCATCCTCCTCCCTCTTCCCCAGCCTGCTCTTACCTGGCTCTGGACTCCTGCACGAAAAGCTCGCTCTGTCCCTGGGCAGTCGGCTGTCCCTGCACCCCCATCGGCTCGCCCTAGCCGTCCCCCCACCTCCCTCCCTCTCTCCCACCTTCTGTCTTTCATCCTCGCGTCCCTCCCTCTCCTGGCTTTGTCTCTCATTCTCCTGGGCCCTCTCCTCTCTCATTCTTTCCTTCAATTTCTCTCTCCCCCCCTCTCTCCCTCCCTCCCTCTCTCCCCCTCCTCCTCCCATTTCCCAGGTCTCTGTGTCTCTCCCTTTCTCCTTCCCTCCCTCCCAGGTCTCTCTCTCTCTCTCTCTCTCTCTCTCTCCTCTCCCTCCCCTCCCCCATCTTCCCTCCCCCCCCCATCTCCCTCCCTCCTCTCCCTCCCTCCTCCTTGCAGCTCAGAGCCAGGTCTGGAGCTGGGGGTGGGGTGGGGGTGGTTGGAGAAGGGGCCCCGGGCTGGGGTAGCGACCTGCTGGGGTGGGGGGGGGTAGAGGAGAGGCGGGAAGGGGGCGGGGGAGGGGGCGGAGGCCCAAGCCGGGGTCCTCTGTCCCCCTTCCCTGCCTCCGGCCGGGGGCGAGCCGGACCCAGGTGGGGAGGAAGGGAGGGGAGGAGGCACCGAGGACCCCCCCCCTCCCGACCTGGCCCCGAGCCCGGGCCTGGGCTCCCGGCATGCCCCGGGGCCGCCTGGGGCCTGGGGAGGGGGTGCGGCGCGCGGACTAAAATCCCCGAGATGGCGGGGACCCCGCTTCTCCAGCCCCGAGTCGTCTCTTCCTGGGGAAACTGAGGCGGGAGGGGGGGGTGACTGG